CGCCCCCCCCTGGGGGCGGAGCGGCAAGACGACAAGCAGCAGCAGCCAGCGCAGGTAGATCTAAGCGGCGGCTTGTGGGGCGGCGGCTTATATACCGCGGTCGCCCGTTCCGCGCGCGCCCATTGGTTGCCGGCCCCTCAGCCGGCCCTGCTGCATGCCGGGACACGTAGTTCGCCCCCCACACCGTCCCCAGCGGCAGCAGCCGGCCCAGGAACTACCACGCCCAGCGCACCCCGCGCCGCCCGCCCCCCGGCGGGAGCCCCATCCCCCCACGCCTTACGCGGGGCGGGGCCGCAGCGCGTGCGGCTGTCTGTCGGTCGGTCTGTCTGTCTGTGTCGGCGCGGGGGCTGCTGTCAGGCGCGGGTTGCACAGTAGCGCCTCGCGAGCCGGCGCGTCACGGACAGACATGCGGACGCGGCTGAAAAGATAGATACGGGCGTTTAGACGCACATACAGACAGGCGCACGGGCAGACACACAGCAAGCCAGACAATCACACGGCTGGAGCAGACAGACAGGCACGGACCCAGCCAGGCAGACCAAAGTGGCCCAGTCAGTGTAGACACCCCCGGGCACCCAGAGACACAAAGCCACAGACTAATGGACAGACAGATGGACATGGGCATGCACTAACAGACACGGATGCTCACAAAGGATCCAGGAGCCGCCTCCCCTCCGTGTCCTGCAGACAAAGGAGAAAATCCAGCCCCGGGGAAGGAGCTGGTGGAAGGGCCCAGGGCAGTGCGTCTCAAGCTGGCTCCGCAGCACCTGGATGGCCTGAGATCCTGTCAAGGTGCTGCGGAGCACCGCACCGGCACTGCTGGACGCGCTAACACGATTCACCAGATGATCCCAGAGGTGTGCAACAGGAACCCAGAGTGTCAAAATCAGCCAGCCCTGCTGTGGGCTGCCTGAACTCTTTGCAACAGAACTGCTCTGTTGTCTGCCTGTAGTCGAAAAACAAGTGGAAGCTCAAAGTTGTCATTTTCCCAGGGGGCCTCGAATCTGAAACAGTTGAGAGCCACTGGACTAGGGCGTCAGAATGGCCTTTGCCCTGGCAGCACTGTCCTGTACAACAGCACTGCTGTAGCCTCAGCTCAGACATGGCTCCTGTCAAACTGCACCAGCCTTTTTGCAGCTTGGAGCCCTCACATGTGAGGAGCTGTGCTGGGGCACCACTGTGGCTGGACAGATCTGTTTTGAGTGGCCTTCCCCTGTGAGGCTGACCCAGGGTCACAGCACAACTGCAACCATCTCCGTCTCCTGGCTGCTAACCCTTGGAGGCACGTGGCCTCATCAGCCTGTTTGCCAGCTGGAATTCTTAGATGAACCAAGCATTGTCCCATTTGGAAGAAAGAGGCTGTTTTGGCAGAAGGATGCAGACAAGCCTGGCAATGGAGAGGGGGATGTTGCTGGGGTTTTGCAAGGCAGAAGTGCGGAGGGTGAAAGCCAAGAGGAGCTAAGTAAGGGGTATGTCTCCCAGAAAGATGACAAAGACTTTTCTTATTCTCGTTCTCAGAGTACCATCTAGTGGCTGAATCCCTTGTGCAACGAGACAAAGAAAACAGGCTTAAGTCATCCCGTGGCATAAAGAATGTGGTTCCTGTCTGGAAGGGGAACTGCAAAAGAAATCCTTCTTTTTAGGGGGGGCTATAACTAGCTATCAAGTCCAAGGCTGAAGTGGTAGCATGCTGACCTAAAGCTGTTCCACCTCTCCCAGAATTCAAGCCTTGCTTTGGACCCACACTGAAGACCACTCCCAAGTCAACCCTCCCATAAATGGATGCCTGGATAAAGTCAAACAGCCAGAGGCAGTATTAGGCATATCATTTCTGTGCATGCCTTTAGAGATAAACTGGCATAGGTTAACCACACTACCCTGACAGGCTGCTATGCTGGGGCAGACATTTGACTGTTTTTGATCGACTGGCAGTGCTGCTGCTTTCTGCACACGATAGGATGGCAGTAATATTTTGGAGACAACTCCTGAGCTAGGAGTGGATGTAGCTGCTTTTTATCACTCTGTAGGTCTGAGGCCCCTGTGATCTAACCAGCCTGAACAGCAGGCCTCACCTTTTTTTTCTTTATTCCAACCTAAAGCACTCATCTAGCTCTGACAACATACACAATAATCCACTCTCATCATTTAGTTACCAGGAAGGTATTTATAGACAGTACTCCTGTGAATCTAGCCAAGGCTGTCCCTGGCGGGGGGCCAGTCGGGACAACCTCCCTGGGCCCTGGGACTCCACGCTGCTGCCGGCTTCACATCCATGCACCCCCTGAGAGCACTGGTGCACCCCGGACCGGCCGTGCCCCCCGCTTAGGCGATGGGCAAGCGGGAGCGCCAGTGCCCCTCCTTGAGTTTTGCTGCAGGGGGACCCCCCTGGTCAGCGGGATTGGCCACGGGGAGATCCCCCCCCCAGTTGGCGAGCTTGGCCATGCCTCCCCCCCCGGTTGGCAAGATTGGCGGCAGGGGGAATACCCCCCAGGTCAACGCTGACTGGTTGCTGGGGTGGGGCTCGTGCCCCTCCTGACTAAGGTGGCACCAGTCGCCTATGGTCTCTGGATAATTTTGTTTTCTAGACTGTCAGTGTTCCTCCTCTCTCAGCCTTCAGTCTGTGTACTGTAATTATTGCCCTTATCTTTTATTATATTGAGGTACTGTTTACACTCTGGGGCCCAGAATTGCAGGATATATTCCAGGTGCAGTCACCCCACAGGCTGCTGAGAATGAAACTGTTGCCTCCTTAATTTTGCCAACCGTGGGCAGCTGAAAACATCACTGGCTTTACTGAGCTCATGTTTCACTGCAACACTTACAGGGCTAGAACAACTCTTGGAAGATTATGCTGCCAAACAGGAGCAATGGCTTGGGAGAGAAGAGTGGTCTAAAAATCAGTCTAAAAATGATCACAGGTCTGATTATCAGAGTTGCTGAGTACCTACAGCTTCCCTTGAGTGTTGTCTAACATCTCAGTGTTTTTCTAACTCAGGGGTGTCCAACCTTTTTGAACGTGGGGCCGGATCACGAACTTTTTATCACCCAGTGGGCTGGCGAGCTATATTCAAAGACATCACAGGAAGTGGTATCACATCAGGAAGTGATGTCATGTGACCTTTGACACCAATGAAGTTGCAGGAAGTGACAATGAAATGGATCTGGAAATGTGGTTTAAAATCCAAAATAAAAACAGTACCCGACCTGGACCCCATGAGGCAGCAGGCATCCTGCCACCAGTCAAACAAGACCTTGGGAAGAAATTTCCAACAGTTTCTTGCCAATGGGAGGAGGTAGAAATTAAAGAGAAAACCTCTTCCGCTTTTCTTTTTGTCTGTGTTAACTGACAAGGCACAGAACAGAGCCTGAAAACGTCGCTGTATTTCCAGTACCAGCCCTCTGTTCACAGAGGTTAGAACAGTGAGGGAGCGGAACAGACTGCCTAGGGAAGTTGTGGACTCTCCATCATAGGAGGTGTTCAAAAAGATGTTGGACAGCACTGGTCAGGCATGATCTAGGCCAGCATTTCTCAAAACATGGGTCACGACCCAAAAGTAGGTCTCAAGAATATATGAAAGGGTCACGAGCAAACTTTAAAAATGGGTTCTCCTTTAAAGGAGAAAAACGTATAACTGGCTTTTCTCTTGTGGGCTGGCAGAGTTTCCGCCGCAAGGGGCTACTTGGGGCTCCCCCATGCCCCACACACTGAGGCACTGGGGTCTGGAGGTAGGAGCAGTGAGGGACACTGGGTCGGGACTGACCATCTATATTTACAAATGGGTCCTGGTACAAGAAAGGTTGAGAATCACTGATCTAGACCGGGGTGGGCAGTTATTTGAGGCAGAGTGGAGCAATTCAGGGCACAACCCTTGTCCTGAGTCTCCCTCCCCTGTGAAAGACAGGGACCCGCCCCATGCACACAGGTGCCGGGAGCCCACAGTCACCAGCCCGGCCCTGGGGGAGGCGCTGTCTTCCCGCCCCTACCCCGACCCTAGCCCTGGCCCTGGCCTGGCCTAGCCCTACCTGCAACACCCTGGCCGGGCAGGAGGCGGCAGAGGCAGATGACAAGGGCAAGCCTGGCCGCCGTGCCGCCTCCATGGGTCTGCGTCACCACGCCACACTGAGCTGGAGGGAGCCAGAGCCGTGGCCGGGCAGCACCTCAGGGCGCAGCGAGCTCAGGCTCTGCCCAAGCCCAGCGCTGCCCTGCGCGGCGCGGCCAATGCCGACAGTATGGCGGGAGGAGGCACCTGCCCATGCTGCTCTGCTTCTACCAGCGACCTGGGGCTGGGCGGCCAAGCCGGGCTGTCTCTCGCCTGTGGGCGGGGAGTGGCGAGTTGCTCAGGCCAGGAAGCAGTGGCTTCCCCACGTGGTGCTGGGTTTGCACTCCTCTTCCCACATGCACTGCGTCGGCAACGTCAAGCTGATGCTGTGCGTGTGGGAACCTTGTCTCTTCCCCAGCCCTTCAGCAGACATTAGGAAGCTGCTGAGGGGCTAGGGGAGGGACAAGGGACGGGAATGAAAGTAAACCGTGTTTACTTTCGTTTCCCGTCGCAGCACTGCAGGCCACAGAAAATGCCTTGGCAGGCTGCATGGCGGCCCGCGGGCCGTATGTTGGACAAGCCTGTTCTAACTGGTAGGACACTCTCTCCGCACTGAGAAAAGAATCTGGCAGGATGAACTTGTCTGCTGCACAATGCCAGCCTTAGTGGTGGGCTATGTGTGTGTCTGCCCTGGGCACCGTGATCGGAGAGTGCCATACACACATGCATGCACATGCATATGCACACGTGCACACATGTGAGCTGCCTGTGCTCACAGCAGTGCTTTCCACCCACCCTACCCCGCTCTATCCTTGCCCCAGGCAGGAAGAACAGTGCTCAGCCCAACCCATCTCTTGCTTCCAGCTGCTGCTCAGGAGCTGGGCTGGACACATGCAGGTGGCAGCAGCAGTGCCTGCCTACCCACCTGCCTGGCATCTCTGCTGAACTGTGCCCTGCACCCCTGTGATTCTAGGACTTTTGTCTGAATTCTCAACTGGCTGGGACGCCAGGATGGCCTATGAAAAATGGGACTGTCCCAGCCAAATCAGGATGTATGGTCACCCTACCCCTGGTTGCTCTCAAGCACAGAAATCTCCTCCTAGAACAGGGGTGGGCAAAATGTGGCCCGTGGGCCAGATGCGGCCCATGGGGCCCCTAAAAAATTTAGAAAATTAATATTTATCTGCCCCTGGCTGCCTGTCATGTGGCCCTCAATGGCTTGCCAAAACTCAGTAAGCAGCCCTCCGCCCGAAATAATTGCCCACCCCTGTCCTAGAACATGCCAGGGACCTGGTATCAACATATCCTGATGTCACTGCAGTTTTGACTTAAAAGGAGGAGGAGCTAAGTAGAATTATCATAAACTCCATGCTTTAGTGGCTTGCTTTTTTTCTCTGCTGCTCACTTGATCTGAAGGCACTTAACAGGGACCTGGTGAATATAGGCCGAACCCAACCCTTTACTTTGTGAAGAGAGGCAGTGACACTGGCTCTGGAGGCTTCTACTTGGAGAATCTGCTTTGACTCCAGTTTCTTTTTTTGGTGACTTCTCCTTTTCAGTGTAGGCTGCTTGGGAAATACAGACTGCTGTGCAAAAATAACAGTATTTTTGCATCCGTGGGAGTGTACTGGGTGTTGTGACAGATGCTTCACCATCCTGTCTGATAGCAGGGAGGGATTTAGTTTTCCAGGACTGAATTCCTGCCAGCGCCTTCCTGAGAGATTTTGTTCCTTAAAACACACTATCATTGTGCAAGTGAGGAGCATGGCAAACCCCTAATTTATGCAGAAGGGGCACTAGAAGGCAAGATGCTCTGAGGGACAATCTCTAACAAATATCTGGGGAAGAGGATGCTGTGGCCACTAGGACCATTTGAGGAGGAGTGTTAAGTGGAGTAAAACTGGGTGTGAAGTCCAGGCCTTAAAACCCTCCTTGACTTCAATGGGGCCAGATTTCACCGAAGGAGTCTAAGCCACTGCTTCCTAGGGAGGTCAGCCTGAGACACCTCCACCTGCCTCACTGCTTACCTCAAAGCAGGCTGCTTCCCACAGCTCCTCTGGCTGCTGAACTGTGTTGCTGAGCTCTGCAACCTTAGCCTATACCCTCTTGGCTAAAGGGATAGCTCTTCTCCATCCTTCAGCAACAAGGCTAACTGGAGGCCATGCACACAAAATCCCAGGGCAGGTTTGGGCTCCTAACACTTGGTTCAGGTGGATGCTTAACAAGTAATGGAGACATCTCAAGAGACGTAAGCTGGCCTACAGAACACAACTCAGGGGCGGGCAACTATTTTGGGTGGAGGGCCACTTACCCAGCTTTGGCAGGCTGTTGAGGGCCGCATGGGTAGCTCCACCGCTTAACAGGTGCCCTGCCCACTGGTCACCACCTTGGGACCAATGTCCCAATATCTTGGGACCAATGTCCCAGGGCCAGCACCGATGGGGCCCAAAGTGGGGCACAGGCTGGGAGGGGTCTGTGAAGCCAGGCTGGGCTGCACCAGCAGAGAGAGGGGGGAGCTAACCTGGCTCCATAGAGGCCCTGCCGGCTGGGACCCTGCACTCCTGCCACCATGCTCTGGGCCCTGCCGGCACTGACACCAGTGCTTCCGCTGGCTCCCGCACCTGCTCACTCCCAGTGCCCTCCGACCCCACAGTACAGGCAGGGGGCAGAGCACAGCCTCAACCCCCTGCTGCTGCCCACCTGGAGCTTGCATGCTGGGCAGCCCAGAGGTGGCAATGGCAAACACTGCCCGGTGCGGCAAGCGGGGGGGGCTGCAGCTGCTGTCACCATGCGCAGCCCCAACAGGCGAGCCCAGAGCCAGCGTGGGGCCCAGGCTGGCAGTGGGGCTGGGTTACAAGGTGGTGCTGAGCGCCAGGGGGAAGGGGGAGGGGAGCGGCCCCTCACCCACCCCGTGGCTGGTGCCCCATACTGCAGCTGCTCGTAGCCTGCACGGGGCTGTCTGGAGCAGGCACAGGCAGCTCGTGGGCTGTGAGCGGCTGCAGCACTGGGCGCTGGCCACTGGGCAGGGGAGGCCACTTTTCCCCCCTGCGCTCAGCTTTTCCCCAGGTCACTTTTCCCTGAGCTCCTTCCCTGCTCAGGGTCCTCCCCTGCCCTTTCCCCTTACCTGCGGTTCCAGCAGCACCGGGCAGCCTGGGGCTTCTGACTGGGGGGGGGGGGGGGG